ACTAAGAAAATAGATAAACTAGGTGCTCTTAATTTCACACTCTAATGCACATTTGAGGCCAATAAAGATCTGAAAAAAGGCTGTTTTATTCCTTCTTACAGTGTGGTAAGAGAATGAAACCAAGATGATAAAGGCAGTGTTTTTCCCTTTCCTTATGTACTAACAGCATAAAGTTAAATTAGCTTTCTGGTTAGTACAATCTTGTCACAGTATCCAAGTTTTTAATCACAACCTACTCAATATGTGCAAACTAATAAGCAACAGTATGTTCCAAAAAATAGCAATTTAGTCTAGGAATATTATATATCATAATCCACTATAACAATGGGAGACAATATTTCTGCCAACATCTACAAAGGGAGTGTGAAAGGTTTTTCTTCCAGTATTTTTGATTGCATTCAGGTTGTACAATGTTGTATCTCTAACTTAACTTACATTTCTGGTTGCTTCAGAGAAAATATCCCACACCTGGTCTTGCAGAGTGCTGTCAGTAATTCTCAAACTGTTCTTCATCCAATTCTGCGCAGACAAAAAACAACAGTAACTGAGAAGGTGCATCTCTTGATTACCATATATTTGGTTCCTGGTTTTATTTTTCATTTAAGTCTCCAACCACTTCTTCTGATTAAGATCTCATTAGATGTTTACTCTCTGTGAATCTCTTAAACCTCCATGTTAAATTGTTTCACATACTGTTTATGTATTGTTACAAGGCTGTATCAATGGCCTCACCAACAGTAATCCAGAAGAGGTAAATATATATAAAAGACTATCCTCATCTTTTGAATACAGCTGGTTATACTAATATCCTACCAAACTTTTTGACTGTTCCCATGAGAAAAAATATTAAGGATCTGATGGTTTTTATTTACTTGTATACTGGACAGATGGTCATGCTCCTAAATGGGGTATCTTAGTTTATTAAAGAAAAGTAAAATTTAAGCAAGTATCTCAATGCAAACATTGGAAAGTTATCAGGGCTATTTCTGGAGTTTCTGCTGAAAATTAAAACAAAGCAGTAAATTTTTACTTACAATATGCTCACACTATCAGCAACAAATCAATTCTGAGGAATGTGGAACTCCAAGTAAAACCTAATCTTGCAATCAAAATCCTAGGAAAGTTGCAATAGTATATTGGAACAATGAACTACAAAAAATTTTGATCTTCCCCTACAATGTATCTTACCAAAAAGAAAGATGCTGCTAGACAATATCACTTTCCCTGCTTACAACATTAATTTTGTAGAAAAGTATTCTAACCTTCAGCTTGCTAGCAGCAATGTCACTGCAGCTCTATTACATTTTATATGAATGTTCTGGATGTAATCATGACCTTCTCTCAGCCTCACAATCTGAGGCACAACGCAGAAAAAAGAAATAGGCCACTTTGTCATTAATTCTTTACTGATACCACATGCAGCATTTGGAATATGCTTTGGCTGTGATGCAGTTTCATGAAGCATCCAGTGTGGGAGATTGTGTCAGATTACTGAGCAACAGGAAAACTCTCAAACCAGTATCTTGCCTTTACCAGGCAAAAACAAAGCCACAAAAATAAGAATGCTTTAAAAGTATGTCTAAGAATTTGGACATTCACTAGAAATTGCACATTGAGTAAAGAAAGGTCTTAAGAAAAGAACAAGCCTACACATGGAGATTAAGCTTGGATGGGGAGTCTCTAGCTTAACACCTAATCAATGCCCAAATAAGAAACTTGTCTCACCTTTATTATTGCTAAGAAAATCTATTTTAAAGATCATTGCATGAATTACTATAAATCTCTATTAAAACACACCTGAAACTTTACTTTTTTTCTTGGAATATTATCAAAGGCACGCATTTGCTCCAGAACGTTCTGCACTTTAGGGCTTATGTTCGGCTTCTTCATTACTTGATGAATTTTCTGAATGAAGAACAACAGAATTAAATCAGCAAAGAAGCATAATCATAGAATCACACAATTGTCTGGGTTGGAGGGGACTTAAAAGATCATATAGTTCCAACTCCCCTGCCATGGGCAGAGACACTTTCCACTAGACCAGGTCGTGAACACTTCCAGGGAGGGGGGATCCACAACTTCTCTGGGCAATCTGTGAGAGTGTCTCACCACCCTTACAGTGAAGAATTTCTTCCTTACACCTAATCTAAATCTGCCCTCTTTCAGAAGACAGGGTTTTAAAACCATTACCCCTCATCCTAACACTACACTCCCTGATCAAGAGTCCCTCCCCATCTTTCCTGTAGCCCCCTTTAAGTATTGGAAGGCCACCGGAGAGATTTCCTATACTTCTGAAAATGTGTTTACCAGAAGGTTTTGTGGATGTGTTAAGACTACCAGAAAAGGACTTTCTGTAATACCTCACCCTTCTGTGTAGAAAGTACTTATTATTGAGGAAGGCTAACAGTTTTTTGTAAGCAAGAGTATTCACATCATAGTGCCTTTCAACAATGCACTCAAAGCAAGCTCAGTGTCATCGATAGCACTAATCTGTTGACTTCAATGGTATTATTCATATGCCTTGAGTATGCATGTAGCTTCGTACCTTCTTATACTGAGTTCTACCCAAGATAGAAAACAACATATCCATGGATAAAGGTGGTCTAACTAATTATATCTAACTGGGTTTTAAAAAAATAAAGGAGGACGCAGACAACATCATCATGACATAAAGCCTATCTATGGTTCATCCATATCTGAAACAGTGTACATAGTTCTTATAACCTCATTTCACAAGATCACAGTAGAACTGGGAAGACTTCAGAAGACCAAAGATATAATTTACATAGAAAGAACTGAGCAGGGTAGGGCTTTTCAGCCTGAAACACAGACTATGAGATGGGGAGGGATGCCTGACAGAGGTCTACAAAAGCCTATGTGGCATGAAGAGGGTGGACAATGACCAATGCCTATTTGTATGCAAGAACTACAGAACATGAGATCAAACTAGTAAGAGGTGGATTGAAAACAAACAAAAGGTGCATTTCTTACCAGGACAAGCAATAGACCTACCAAGAACTGCCAAAAAACCCCCTGTGGCTATTGGGAAAAACAGATCTCTGGTTTGATCCAGTATAGCCTCTCCTGTGTCTTTAATGATTATAAACAATAGTTATTTATCATATCTGTATATAGTCCAAACCTTACCTGAATCCATTCCTGTTGTTTAGCATCTCCTTTGTTAGTTTTGGCTTCAAAATCTTTTCCACCATATTTCTGGTCTTCACTCACGCACCTGACATGTTCCTTATAATCGTCACCCCTGAACACAGGAGATTTTTAACTGTAGTTCACTGACGTGTTTCAGTGTTCAAACTATACAAGACTTATGTAACCAACAAACTAAAGTAATAGACAATAGCATCTGTCGTTTAAACCTTAACACTGTCAGTTCTTACATGGGTAAAGTCTGATGTGCTTAAAGTACGTGCTTATAAGGCTGCTGACATTTTTGTCACACTACAGCCTTCAGTGAATTTGCAACATCAGATCTGACTCCAACATACTGCTGCTTTTCTTAGTGACTCTGTAACTTAATGCACATTTGTACATGTAACGTATGCACAGCTATTATATTATCTGTGTTGTGTTACTCACATTGGCACATTTTAAAACTAGAAAAGCAGGTGAAAAATGCCTGCAAAAACTAATTCCTAAATATAGATATACTAATGTGGTAGTGTAGTTCTGACCAGTGTCAGTGGGCCAAAAAGGAATAAGTAACAAAGATCTTAATTTTCTGTCAGTGAAGTATTGAGGAATATAATCACCATTTGAGGACAATCTTATCTTCTAACGCTAATTCATGTTTACATTTCAAAACAGATAGCAGCCCTACTTTCTTGAGTTCTGAGAAATGACAACCAAATTCAGAATTTTTGATGTCATTGCCAGTCTCACTCTCTCTGCAGTCACAGAGTAAGTAACTGTTCTTGATGACCAGAAGCCAAAAGCACTATCACTTATAACTGCAAAAGAAGAAATTGCAACTGTTTATGGTGTGGTTTAGTTGTCCTTGAGGTTCAAACTTGAATGATTAAGCTTGAAATGATATAAACATGTATAATTTTTAAATCCACATATGAATTATTTAGAAATTGCCAAATTAAATTCTAATATACCATAGGAAAATCTTGTATTTGTGACAACCACTGCAGAGTGAACAAGGTTTTCCTTTACCTACCAGAAATCCTTGCCACAATCCATGCAAGAAAGGCACTGACAGTTTCTGCAGATGTTCACATGCTTTTCAACTTGTGCTTTCTTCACAGATTCTCCACACGCATCGCACGTGAAAACTACCATGTTGGCAAGTGGTCAGCAGCTTCTGTGAAATGGGTGCAATCCTTTCTCTCTCTACTCAAGCACAGCCCTGGAAATACAAGGAGGAGATCTCACATTTGCAGCTTGCAAAAAGCACTTGGATGGCCAGAAAGAAGTGCCACTGTGCATCCACTAACAGAAAAGCCAAGCAGTTTGATTTTGCACGTGCAAAAGCTCAGAAGGAAAAAACTCGTTTCGCCCGATACCTTGGGCACAAGGGACAGCAGTAACGCCGCCAGGCGTAAC